ACCATTGGGGAGATTAATGTTTATGTTAACATGTGTAGGAGTATGAGTGAAAAATGACATGTCACATATCATATGATCAGTGGCCCCGGTATCCAATATCCAAGTATTTTGCACAAATTTCTAGACACATTGCAAGAGAGAGGAGCAGTTATACCTGAAGTGCTCGGCATGGCAGTGGCAACAACAGGATTGGAGATAGATGGTCCTTGTGCACTGTTTTTGGCATCCTGAGACCTTTTGAAGGCTATGAACTCATTAAAAAGATCATTAGTAATAGAATCAGCATTAACAACAGAATCTGCATGAGTCAAGTTGGCAGAATGATTGGTAGAAATTTGTCTGGGCCCCTTAGGACCAATCCAATTGGAAGGATATCCTATGATTTGAAAGCATTTATCAGCTGTGTGACCATTATATCCACAATGTGAGCATTTCAGTTTCTTTTTGTCTCTGTTATATGTTTTTTGTGATTTGAACTGGGGCTGAGATTGAAACTGAGGCTGAGAATGGGTATTTTTAGCAAGCATAACCATGGAATCTGAAGTAGCAGGGACATTGTGAAGTGATCTTTGAGACTCTTCTTGCAGAAGAAGAGAATAGACTTTGGAAAGGCTGGGTAGGGGTGTAGACAATAGAAAGTAGCTTCTAAGAGCAGAAAAAGAGTCATTCAAGCCAACGAGAAACTTCATAACAGAATCATGTTGTTGTGCCAAAGCCATAGCCTCAAAAATATTACATGTGCAGGAATTAAAAGCACCACAAGAACATTTAAAAAGCGGCCTATAGGTAACATATTCATCCCACAGCGCTTTAAAGGTATTATAGTATTGAGTCACTGACATAGATCCTTGATCAATCGTGCTAAGCGATTTTTCTAGTTGAAAAACTCTAGGTTCGCTACTCATGGCATATCTAGTTTTCAATTCATCCCAGACATCACAAGCAGATGTAAAAAACAACAAGGACTGACGAATTTCCTTACAGATCGAGTTTAAAAGCCATGAGAGGACCAAGTTATTCGCATGTAACCAGGAAATGTAGAGATTAGGGTTACCAGTCGGCGACGGAGCAGAAAGAGTACCGTCGATGAAGCCGCCCTTGTTCTTGACGCTCAAAGCCATGACCACCGCGCGGGACCAGGAGACGTAATTTTCTCCGTTGAACAACTCAACGACGATCAAGGCTCCAGGATTGTCGCTAGCATGCAAGAAATAGGGAGATGTAGGATCATCCGAAGGATTCAGATTGAGTGCCATGAATCGCGAAATGAAAACAGATCGATATGCAGATCGATAGAGAGAAAAAAAAAACAGATCGCCTCGAAGATCAAGACGATGTAACAAGATCAACAGCGGAAGAACGAAATCAAAAACGGATCGATAATCCGGCGAATGATACCATATTGAACTTAGGGTTTGATAGAAACCAGAGAGAGAAAGGGAAAAGAAACTTGTATTGACGATTGGAATTCAGAGAATAAAAAAGTGTTGTGCTACAATAGAAAAGTCATATTTATACTGTAGCTTAATGAACTAAAAGTGCTAAAAGATAAAATAGCAACTAATACAAGGTTATCAAATAACAACTAATACACATCATCTAATACTTTTCATTTGTTTTGTTCGCACATTTTGATAATCCATCCCAATTTCGATATGTTTTTCTAAAAAAATTGCAATTTTCATGTGAGTATTTAGGACAATGTATGCATTCAATTTATTACTTTTTTTTTTAGTCGTCACCGACAATTGCGTATTTGTTTATATACCGATTATGTAATTATATGGAT